AATAGAAAGTATGTCCTTTGGTGCTTGGGTGGAATACTCAGTAGATGTCTGTTAAGTCCATTTGATAAATGATATTGTTTAATTCAGATGTCTCTCTGTTAGCTCTCTGCCCTGTTGATGTATCTAATGGAGACAGTGGGGTATTGAAGTCCCCTACTATTTATTAATGAGTTGGTATTAATCTGGGTCTTAAAGTCCGGTAGTATTGTTTTTATGAAGTTATGTGAATGAAGTTGGGTGCACCAGAGTTTGGTGAATATATGTTCTTGGTCAATTGTTCCTTTGATAAGAATGAAGTGGCCCTCTTTATCTCTTCTGATTACTTTTAGTTTAAAGTCTATTTTGTCAGATATTAAAATTGCTACACCTGCTTTTTTCTTAGTACCATTTGCTTGGTATATTTTTTTTCCATCCTTTCACTTTAAGATAGTGTCTGTCCTTGAAAGTGAGATGAGTTTCTTGCAGACAACAAAAGGGTGGTTTTTGTTTCTTAATCCATTCACATAGTCTGTGTCTTCTGACTAGGAAGTTCAGTCCATTAATATTTAACATTATTAATGAAAGATGAGTATTGAATCCTCTCATTTTTATTTCTGTTTACATTCTTGATATAGCTGTACTTTTCCACAGTTATACCTTCATTGAATTTCTTTCCGCAATTGTGTATAGTCATTCCTTTCTTCAGCTCTTTGTATTGCTTCCAGAACTCTCTTTAGGGCTGGTTTTGTGGACATGAATTCCTTCAGCCTATTTATGTCATGGAAGATTTTTCTTTCCCCTTCAACTACAGTAGACATTTTGGCTGGGTATAATAATCTGGGTTGGCATCTGTGGTCATTTAAAACTCGGACTGCTCAGCCGGGCGTGGTGGTGCACGCCTTTGAATCCAGCACTGGGGAGTCAGAGATAATTGGATCTCTGAGTTCAAGGCCACCCTGGTCTACATAGTGAGTTCCAGGCCAGCTGGGGCTATAGGGAGACCCTGTCTCAAAAAGACCAAAAAAAAAAAAAAAAAACTGGGAATACTTTGGTCCAGGCTCTTCTGGGTTTCATGGTTTGCACTGAGAAGTCAGCTGTAATTCTAATGGGTTTTCCTTTATATGTGACTTGTTTTTCTTTTGCAGCTTTCAGTATTCTCTCTTTGTCCTGTAAAT